GAGTATATTGCTATAAGTATATTTTTAATGTTTTAAATGTTCGCTAGAGAGCTGCGGGTCTTATGACGTTAAGGAAAAAGGATTAATGTGATCGGCCTTGTCCTAGAAACACCTAGAAAGTTTTAAGGTAGTGACGTCAAGTTTTTTTCTGGTATATTCCTAGCCAGATTAGGAATATAAGATAGTTGTGAAGTATGTAGAGTTATATTAGGGTATAGAGTTGAATATGTCTGTGTTTTACTGAAGTATTTGGATGGGTTTGCTATCGCGCCTATTGAGATACTTTGTACTAGTAATAGCATTAGTAAGGTTTGAATGTCATTTTTGATGTAGGTCTACAACAATTTACGATCAAGGTACAAGTGTTCAAGCTTATCGAAAGTGAAACATTGATTAAGTTAAAGAGAGAAATAAATTCATTTGTGATGATATGTGAACTGGATTTTAAGTTTAAACCATTTTATTTTTTAAACCAGATAATTTAAAAGAACCCTTCAATGAAAGAAGGCTACAAGTTACAACAACATAATATACACCTATGATATACTGATGATGATATAGATGAAATTAAATCTTTAGATTTTTCATTGCTCTTCCTTTAAGTTTAACACTTAATAACAGTTTTAGTTTAATTTCTGAATAGGAACTTGTACTGTATGACAAAAGCTCTTGCTCTTATTGATATTAAATTCACTTTTTCATCATACCCACTGATGGAACAGACATATAACGAATATTAATATTTTATCTTGCATTCTTTATGTTTTTGTTTTTTACAAGGGAAAGAAATTTGAGAACACAGCAGTTAAAAAGCCAATATGGTTTGGTCATTATAAGGAAGTGTGAGGTAACAGTATAAAAATATTAAATGAAATGTAGTTCTACATATATATACATTCCTATGTAACAGATTTGAAGTATGTATAAAATTAACTGCACACTGTGCATAGTACAAGCATACTGTATACCAATAGTCAGATAACATTGTGTTTAGAAATGTTACCAGCTTTGTATGATACCTTAGTTATAGTTTTTGTACAGTTCTGATCAGGTGAGTCATTGGCATGTGTAAAGTAAAATATTATTTCCATTCAGAATAACAAATTGTTATTTTGAACAAAAATGACTACCTTAATAAAATACATGATATTCTGGATGATTCTACAAAGTTTATATCCTGTATAAAACTATGTGATGTATGGTACAATAGTATAATGTACTATGTTTCTTTTGATGTTAGGTTTTCCCTTCACTTATAATTATATTCTTTTTAACCCTGTGTGCATGGTTGAGGGTCAAAGTTGCATGTCATGACCTTCTACAGAGTGCTATTCAACGTGGTATATTTGAAGATAGAGTTATCAACTAATGCCCTACATTGCTGATTTAGCATCTGATCTTTTTGTGTACAACAGACTTGTGCATATTATTAAAAGCATACCAATGGATTGAGCCTGTGCATGTATAATTAAACGGTAATCAATTCTATACAATTATTTTTCTATTACAGGTAATATGGTAAAAGGGCATCCTTTTGTTTTAACCATAATCATTTGATCAAGAGATAAAATGCCTGACTGATCAAGGTAAGAGTTCTCAGCCTAATTGTTAAACTGTTGATATTTCTAAAATATTTATTGTTTTTATTCATAATGTAAAACATATATGTATTTTTATAACTTAAGCCATTATTTCAATATCAGGTTTGAAGTTTGAAAAATAAGCCTACAAAAACAGGATATTCAGTTTTAAAATAGTTTATAAGTAGGTCTGTTCACAACAGTTTATACAAATTGTGTAATTTTGCTTTACAGCTAATTAACTTCCAAAACATCACTGTTTGAGTTTTAAAACTATATATATATATTACTCACAGAATTCATGATACCATATTTAAGAGTAAGAATATTAGTTACTTATTCTGTAGTAGAATATGATTAAGAAAGAAAGTGAAGAGGAAGTTAAGAATATAATTGTGATAGAATAATGATAATGGGTGTTTTTTTTTTAAAGTTATGAAACATCTGAGAGGTAATCTTTATAATTTTGAATTTTTCTTCTTGAGGTGATTTTAGTCATAGATTGGATTTTGTAAACTGTTTATTACAAATTAGATACTTACATGCAGTTCGTAACTATAATTTTTTCGGAATTTTTCTTAGTTATTGCACCACATTTAATTAACTATTTTATAGTGGTCTTTAGTTTGAAGGTAATGTGCATTTTTTAAACAAATCTAAAGAGAAATTAACAATGTTGATGAAAGAATTTTTAATATTGCCATTACCTAAAGAACATGTCTTTACTTAGATATGATCAAGGTAAATTTTTCTAAATTTTTATCATGGATGAAAGTTCATTGCTATTTGGCAGGTTTCCACCATTTCCATTGTCAAGTTGGCCGTCCATTCAGTTCATTCAAATCCAGTGAGAAAAATGTTAAGAGTGAAGTGGGGGTGCTGGGAACAGAGACAAAGTTGTGGGAAAAATTTTAGAAAGTCTGTTATAAGATGCTTTACAAAGTCATTTAACAAAGTTTAGAATTTTATTGAATAATCAACATGATTTCACTAAGGGAAAATCTTGCCTTACAAATCTTTTAACATTCTTTGAAAAGGTTACTGCTTATGTAGATGAGGGTAAGGGTGTAGGTTTGGTGTATCTGGATTTTCAGAAAGCAGTTGACAAGGTGCCACATAAAAGGCTTGTAAAAAAATTAGCTCTAGAGGTGTGGGGGATAAGTTGGCAAATTGGATAGAAGAGTGGTTGGATGTAAGAAAGCAGAGGGTTGTTACAAATGGAGTTCAGTCAAACTGGATTAATGTCACAAGTGGGGTACCTCAGGGTTCAGTCTTAGGATTTTTGCTCTTTTTGATTTACATCAATGACATAGATGAAGGGATAGTCAATAAATTACTCAAATTTGCAGATGATATTAAGGTATAAGG